CAAAGCTCCCCATTGGGTCAGGGTCCAACCTGGCTGCCACTTACTGAGGGCAGACTAGGGGTAAACTGAAACATGAAGAGCTGGGTGGGGCTAGAGAGGTGGCTCCGTGGTTAAGAGCACTGGCTGCTCTTTCCAGAGGACCCGGGTTCGATTCCCAGTACCCACACGGCAACTAACAACTGTTTGTAACTCCAGTTCCAAGGCATCTGACACTTTCTCTTCTGCTGGCACTGCACGACACCAGTGCACCTACCTACATGCAGACAATACACACATACACATAAAATAAAAATAATAAATAGAATGCATGTAGGTAAGTGCACCCATGTTGTACAATGCCCGCAGAGGTCAGAAGAGGCTGTCAGATCCCCTGGGACTGGAGTTACGGACAGTTGTTAGCTGCCATGTGGGTGCTGGGATTCGAACCCAGGTCTTCTGCAAGAACAATCAGTGTTCTTAACCACTGAGCTATCTCTCCAGCCCCACAATTTTTTTTAAAAGAGCCAGGGTTCAGGGGTGAACTAAGGTAAGCTGGAGTGAAGTAGGGTGAATTTGGTGTGCTGGGGTGAACTGGGTGTGCTGAGATGAACTGGGGTGTGTTGGGGTGACCCAGGGTATGCTAGGGTGAGAAGCAGGACCTGAGCTGAGAAGCAGAGGACCCAGGTGCATGAGATAGCCCCACCACACAGCCCAGGAAGACAGCTGTGGCCAGAGCGCAGACCTTCACCAACTTCAGCCCCCCATAGACTGTACCCAGAGGTAACTCCCAGCTCAGACCAAGTGCCCAACCAGAGCCAGGTGTCCCCTGCTGGCTAAGCCTGGGCCTCTGACCAGACTCCTGGGCAACTCTCTGAATGGGTCCCCTGAGCAGAGACCTGTGGACAGGTCAGCAGCTGCATCCCTCCCATACCGACCACAGGCTTATCACACAACTCACAACCTCGACAGAAGGCAGAATTACATGCAGCTGGCTGGGAGTGCAGGAGGGGTTGGCCTCTCGGGTGAGGGTTCACAGGCAGGACTATGTTCCTCTACACTGGAAGTTAAACCTGACCTTGAGGCAGCCCCGAATGAGCACCAAAATGAGCAGGGTGAGAAGCAGCTTCAGGACACGGTCTCCTGCCCTGGACCGTCTTCCCTAGTCCAGCCCTGCTGTGCATCACAGCCCTGCCAGCCAAAGAAGGGAGGCAGCCTCTGTTACAGAAATGGCACCCCTGCTGACCTTCACTCAGGGCAGGCGCAGTGCAGCTGGTCTTGACGGCTGAGTTTTGGACAGTGTTGTGTGATACCCTATCCTGGCCCAGCACTGCCCAGAAGGAGCTCAAAGCTCAGCAGCTGGCAGGTAGATGGACACACAGTTCCCTGTGGGTTCTGGGTGGGTCTGGTTCAGGGATCAGGAGGACTTTCTAGAAGAGGGGCTTTGCATTGACCCACAAATGGCCAGAAAGGTGGAACTTAGAGAGGGGAGAGGGAACACAGGACCAGAATGAGGACTTTGTGCATGTGATGATTTAAGTGAGAAATGTCCCCCGCAGGCTCGGGTGTTTGAACACCTACTCCCCAGTTGGTGGCGCTGTTTGGGGAGGTTATGGGGCCTTAAGGAGGTGCAGCCTTGCTGGAGGGAGTATGTCACTGGGGGGCAGGCTTTGAGAAGTTACAGCTTTGAGTCACTTCAAGTTCACTCTAGGGCAGACATGTGATCTTCTGCTCTGGTCCCCTGCTGCCACGGCTTTCCATGGCTACACACTCACTCTCTGGAACCATAAGCCCAAATAAGCTTTCTTCCTAATTGTGTCTGATCATGGTATTTTATCATAGTAACAGAAAAGTAACTAACATGGTGGGCAAGGCCTCAGACAGCAGGGTTTGACTGTAGCCACTGGCAGCTTGGTTCTCTTAAGCAACAGGCCAGGCTGCTGTTCCCAGTGGAGGAGGGAGCTGGGGCACCACCTATAGGTGAAGTCTATCTTTGAGAAGCTGTGTTCCCATCAGAGGAGCTGCAAAACCTTCAGAAATCATCCGGAGGAGCCGATGTCAGATCACACTTGGAGAGGTATAAGCCCCACATAGAACCCAAGCATGTATTTGCCAGATGGACCAAGCCACATGCCATGGCATCTTTATAAACTGAAGTCCAGACATGACAAAGTGTCCATCAGCAGGGACACCAGACTCACCCTGCCTGCCCACCCAGGGAAGGTCACACAGCTGTGCAGACCAGTGAGGGTGTCTGTGGTCAAACGCAGAAGGGGGTTTGGGATTCAGATACCCAGGCAAGTGGGTTGGCCACTAGCTGGATCCTGTGAGGCTGCTCAGAGGAGGGGAGCAGGCAGATCCACAGAGATGGATTCAGGAAGTGAGCACTGGAGCTATGGAATCTGCTCTTCTTGGGGACAGACCTTCAGATGGGGAAGACGAGAGGGTTCTATGAGAGGGTGACTATTGTAGGCATGACCTCTGAGCTTAACAGTCTTAACTTTCATCATAGCAGCTGTGATCACTCACAACACAGTCCCAATATTTGCCTGTTGACTGCTGACATTCTTTCATAGGAGGAGTGTGTGAGGAAGGGCACGGACCCTCACCTCCCAGCCAGCTTTATGTAATTCTGCCCTGATTGCATGTGGCCTTGTAGTCTCAGGAGGTGCTGGAGTTTAGAGACTGGGAGATTAACTGAAGGAGAGACGCCATATATGCAGCTATAGGGAGTCGTCACCCAGCTGGGGTGAGGCTTTCCTTTGATGTGGCTGTTTTGAGGTCACCATGCTTCTGTAGCTTAACTCCTTACACACGCTCTACAAGTAAGCCCAATAAACTCCTTGGTTCCTCAGGTCGGACTCTGGCGGAGTCATGCTTTGGTTTGTCTTGGGAGCCCTGTAAGGAGGGGGCAGATGCTCCCTCAACAGTAGCAGTGATGACTCTGCAGCAGATGCTTAATGTGAGCTTACAAATGACTAAGACCATGCACTTATGCTGTTTGTATTTTGCCAGAGATAGAGAGAGATAGAGGAGAGAGAGAGAGAGAGAGAGAGAGAGAGAGAGAGAGAGAGATGGGGAGGCTGCATTGCTGTCCATGACATTGGAATTGACACGTCTCTTAATTTATTTTTAATTTAATTTAACTTAATGATTTAAATTTTAATTTAAACAAAGGTAATCAGAGCTGAAGGGATGGCTCAGCAGTTACGAGCACTTGCTGCTCTTGCAAAGGACCTGGGTTCAGTTCCCAGCACCCATGTTGGATGGTTCACAACTGTCTGTGACTCCAGTTCTAGAGGATCTGACACTCTCTTCTGGTCACAGAGAGGCACCACACGCACATGGTGCACATATATACATACAGGAAACCCTCTCACACATAAAAATAACAAAATAATAATTTTTAAAGAGATAATGGGGAGCTGGGCGTGGTGGCGCACGCCTTTAATCCCAGCACTCAGGAGGCAGAGGCAGGCGGATCTCTGTGAGCTCAAGGCCAGCCTGGTCTCCATAGTCCATAGTGAGTTCCAGAACAGCTGGGGCTACAGGGAGACCCTGTCTCAAAAAGATGAAAAAAAAAAAAAGATAATGGAACTGGAGAGTTGGCTCGGTGGTTAAGAGCACTGGCTGCTCTTGCAGAGCACCCAGGTTTAGTTCCCAGCACCCACATGGTGGCTAACAACCATCTGTCACTCCAGTTCCAGGGAAACCAATGCCCTCTTCCGGCCTCTATGGGCATTGCATGAAACAGGTGCACTTACATACATGCAGGCAAAATACTCATACACATACAATAATAATGGAAAAAAAATTAAAAGATAATGAGGCAGCCAGGTGTGGTGGCACATGCCTTTAATCCCAGCACTTGGGAGGCTGAGGCAGTAGGATCTCTGGGAGATCAAGGCCAGCCTGGTCTACATGACAAGTTCCAGGCCAGTTGGGGCTACAAGGCCACCCTGTCTCCAAAAGCAAAAAAAAAAAAAGATAATGAGGCAAGACTAACTGGCAGGAGCATGCCGGCACCCCCACCTCTGCTTTGGTATGAGTAGACAGGTAGGAGCCTTGGGGCGGGGGGGGGGGCCCTGGGTGAAGGAGGACCCAGACACTACCCTAGAGAACAGGCCACCATGGTGTCCTCCAGCATGGTGTCCTCCAGCATGGTGTCCTCCAGCATGGTGTCCTCCAGCATGGTGTCCTCCAGCATGCGGCCCTAGGATCGCCATCTACCCCAGGGCTTGGGAGCCTCAGTCAAAGATATCGCTCCCTAGCCAGGCTTTCATTCTGATTTTTTTCCAAAGACCTGCGCAGACATGCTGGAAACAGGGAACACCTGGCCGCCGCAGCACGGGCGGGGACCTCCCAGACCTAATCCCATCCCCTCCGCACCAGCCTCCTCTGTTTTCTTTTTAAAAACTATGCTATGGGGCTGGAGAGATGGCTCAGCAGTTAAGAACACTGACTGCTCTTGCAGAGGACCCGGATTCGATTCCCCGCACCCACATGGTGGCTACGAACCGTCCTTAACTCCAGTTCCAGGGGAATCCAAAGCCCTCTTCTGACCTCCGCGGCATTGCATGACATGGGTGCACTCAAATACATGCATGCAATACACGCATACACATAAAATAATATTTTTTTAAAAACTATTTTATTTCTTTTTATCTGTATGAGTGCCTGCAGGTATATGAGTGCACCACGTGTGTACAATGGCCATAGAGACCAGAAGAAGGCATTGGATCCCTTGGAACTGGTTAGCCACCATGTGGGTGTCAGGAACTGAACCCAGGTCCTCTCCAAAAGCAATCAGTGCTCTTAACTGCCGGACCATCTCTCCAGGCCCCATCTCTGCTCTCTTTGATGGCCTATTGTTTTTTCTTTTCTCTTTTTATCTTTTTGAGACAGGGTCTCCCTGTAGCCCCAGCTGTCCTGGAACTCACTATGTAGACCAGGCTGGCCTTGAACTCACAGAGATCCTCCTGCCTCTGCCCCCTGAGTGCTGGGATTAAAGGCGTGTGCCACCACGCCCGGCCTGTTTTTTTCTTTTTATTATGGTAGATTATATAACACAGAGTTACTATGTTAACCATTGTAACTGCATAGTTCAGGGGCATTAAGTGCAACCACAGCATTGTCCTGCCACCACTGCCATTCAGCCACAGAACTCTTACCTTCCAAACTCCCCAGTACACAGATTCCTCACTCCACCCCACCCACCTCACTTTCAGGGAATATCACCCCCTGGCTACTAGGAAACTCTGGGCTCAACAGCTTTTGGCAACCTCAGGACCCACATCCCAGAGACTTCTGAGCCCCAGGGGAAGGTTTCATGGGGATGCTGGGGAGACACGACCTGGTGGTACCCTTTGCCTTTGCTGATTGAGGCCAATTCCCTTAGCAGGAAGCAGCTGGCTGGATTTCAGGAGAATAAGTCTGTCTCCAGAGAGCACAGCTGTTACAGCAGCGCCTCCTGCCAGAGTCCCATGCTGGAAGGTGGGCAGGGGTCTTCAGGTGCAGCTGAAGCCAGCAGGAGGTTGTCACGGTTGGTGTCAGGAGCCTGGAAAGTTAGCCACAGTCAGCCAATCCATCTGGAGGGACTCACCGGAAGCGTGAGTGCCCACAGATTTATTACAAGGGTGTTCATCACAGCATTACTTATATAACAAAACAGTGGCAGCAGTTCACGTGTCCCACCGCAGAAGAGTGACGATGGGAATGAGAGAACGCCACGCACTGGATATGGCGTGGCCATGAAATGTTACGATTTATGAAGGAGGTTCACAGACATGAAGAATATTCATTACACAGACAGGCAGGAGACAGTGGAGTACAAACCTAGGTCCCCACCATCTTCTCTACTCTGGTAATTAAAAAGAATAAAAGACCAGCTGGCCAAGAGCCACCACCCTGCTGTTCAGTGCCCAGGTCTGAGCTAGGGGCTTTATCTGCTCACGGGCCTCAGGGTGCTGGGAGGCAGGTGCAATGGCTCCCTGATGATAGTTCCTAGGATTGATCTACCACTAGAATGCAGAACAGGGCAAGAGGGGCCTGGTGCTGTGAGACTAAGGGGGGACTCAAGGGTGTGAGGGGGCTAAGAGGGGCTGGGGGTGAGGGGTCTAAGAGGGGCTGGGAGCGAAGGTTCTAAGAGGGGCTGGGGGTGAGGGTTCTAAGAGGGGGGTGAGGGTTCTAAGGCATGGGCAGTGAGTGACACAGGCAGCATGTGGGAAATACTCCTCTGTGTCTCTCTGTGTGTCTCTTTCACTATGTCTCTGTCTCTGTGTATCCCTGTCTCTCTCTGTTTGTGTGTGTGTGTCTCTCTTCCTGCCCATCTCTGTCTTCCTTTCTCTCTCTGTGTCTGTCTCTCTCTTCCTGTCTCCATCTCTCTGTGTATCTCTGTATGCCTCTCTATATCTGTCTCTCTCTTTGTGTCTCTCTGTCCCTCCCTTCTCCCTCCTCTGCAAGGGTCTTCTAGTTAAACCAGATTGCTACATTTTACAAATACAACAAAATGCCTGCAGGCCATCAGCCCATTTCTAAGATGCACACTCCACACAGGTCTGGGTCACTGAGGGTCTGTCTGGGTTCAGGGCATCCAGAAGGCATACCTGAGTGTCGGCCGTGTTCCACAATGCAGGTCCTCTCTCCCCAGGCCCAGACGCAGGGTACAGTGTCATCCCTGGTGTACCTAATGCTTCCTGCCTCTAATACTGCTGGAGAGATGGCTCAGCGGTTAAGAGCACTGGCTATTCTTGCAGAGGACCTGGTTCGATTCCCAGCACCCACACGGCAGCGAAAAACCATCCATGACTCCAGTTCCAAGGGATCCGACACCCTCTTCTGGCCTCTGTGGGCACCACATGACACGGACAGATAATATATCCACACACATAAAATAAAAAATAATAATAGAAAAACATTTTAAAAAAACAAAAAAACATACTTCTCACTGGGAAAATGGAACCTTTCTGTTCCATGCTTCAGTTCTCGTCGTTCTGGAGTCCAAGTGTTCTAGACAGCGCTCTCCAGGTCTGAATGAAGGGCCATTGGCTCCTGCGCCAAGGAAGCAGTGGACTACAGAGCCTATAGAACAGCCCATCAATTAAGAGAGAGGGTGGACTGGGGTACAGCTCAGCAGTAGAGAGCTGATCTGCCAAGTACAGGCCCTGGGTTCCACCCCCAACCTGGAAAATAAAAGCAAACAATAATAAACAGAAAAAGGAAAAAGCAAGCCATTCCCCATGGTCCCCATGGCCACAGGCTGCAGGCCTGGTTCGGGGTCCTACTGCCCCTCCCATTGGGGTGCATGTTCGCAGGAATTCATCATTTCCCAGCCTCCACATCACTCTGAGGCTGATTAAATTAGCGAATGCAATCACAATCTGAAGCGAGTTAATTGAGGGAATTTATTTGGGCCTGACAGTTTTATGCATGTTTGATTAAGTATTATAAGGTTTGTTTTTGATTTTGCATAATTTAACTTTAAATCCTGCACTGGGGGGCCCATCAACCATTAACAACCAAAATAAACCTCTTTTAAGATGCATCCATTTATGATTTATTTCTGAATGCTGTATCTTCCAGATTTTTTTGGTGCTGTTGCCAAAGTGACAAATATGTTTAAAGTAACATTTTAAGCCCTCCCATTTGCCCTATAAATCTCCTCGACTGGATACAAGTCATTAAAAGTTTTGAAAGAGGTACAAGTTTGTATTTATATTGCAACAAGTGACATATAAATGCCTGTGTTTGTCTTCTGCCTGCCATAAAATATAGCCCAGTGCCATTCCCTGGGAGCGGAGCTGATCACCCACGCTCTGGGGCAGAGATAAGCTCAGTCACAAATCCTCACTCCTGTCGGCAAGAAACTGTTCAATCAACAGCCATTCCAGTCAAGTCTTTGGTGAAAATTAGCACAAGAGGAAACAGCATAGGCCTGGGAGGGGTGAAACCCTGCTTAGCACTAACCTTGAACCCAGCCTCTGTGGCTTCCTTTGAGATCTAGGGCTGGGTTGTAGGAAGGCACATTCATTAAACAGTCTAGGGCCCGCTTACCCAGGAGATAACCAGAGCCGCCAGGAAGGTGGGTACATGACTCCTCCCCTGTGCTGTGAGCTAGGGGGTCTCAGTTCCCCAGCCACCTCCACAGCCACCTTCAGTGAGCTTTTCCTGGGTTCCAGTGCAACATTCATTCTCTGCCCTTGTCTTGGCTAAGGGTTTCCTGTGGCCAGCTCAAACTCAGGAAAGTAAAATACTTCCTTACTCTTCCTGCCTAGAGAGGCAAAAAGGGGACGTTCCAGACCAGTGTGGCTCTGTAACTGCAGTCCAGTCACTCTGATGATTTCTCATGCTTCTCACAAAGCCCCCAGAAGCACATCAGGGCATTTCCCCAGCATCCAGGGTAAGCTCTGTCCCCCGAGTGCTGGTGCAGTGGCTCCTTCACTCTCCTGTGGCTGGGAGTAGAAGGATTAAGGGGCCTTAAGGCCTCTGAGCCAGCTGGGCTCAGGCCTGTTGCTCTCCAAAGCTCTCCAGCCTCTATTTTGAATGCTCAGCGCAAGGCAAGCACTTAGCCAACCCATCATGTTTACACCAGGTCCTGTTCTGTGCCAGAGCAGAGCAGGAAGCAGAGGAAGCCTCGGCCCCAGGCTCTAGCTTGAGACTCTCAACAGAGGGAGTAGAGTGCCTGGGAGAGTAAATAATGCCCACAGTGATGGAAGTACAAGGCCACAGGCTCTGAGACTGAGCGACCTGGAAAGATGAGAGCCCTTGAGAGGCAAGGGGACCCGGCGGGGGTGGGGTGGGGCATGGAGGCCACATGCCTCTTCTGACCCAAGAGAACAGAGGTGTCTGTCCTCGAAGAGTGCGGGCCTGTGTACCCTACAAGCTCAGAGTACTCACTTAAGGCCAATGACAGATCACACAGTGTGGTAGCCTCCATCAACACTGTGGCAGTGCACCTGTTTGTGATGCTCAGCTCTAGTTAGATTCTCAGCACCACAAAAAAGGAGAGGAGGGCAGGGGAGATTCTGACTAATCTGCTCCTCCTGTGGCAACAAAGTCCTCACAGGCCAGATGACGAAGCCCCAGTTCAAGGTGTGGCAGGGCTAGTTCTTTTGGGGACATTCTCTCTGGCATCTGCTGTCTTCTACCCGTCCTCAAATGATCATCCCTTTGTGTCTGTCTTCATCTCTAATCATCCTAGATTAGGGCCCACCCTAGGGACCCTAGTCTATCTTAGTGACTTCTTTAAAGGTCTAGTTTTCTACAGTCACATGCTGAGGCTCTGGGGGTTAAGACTTCGACATACAGATCTGGAGAACATAATTCATCTCTAACTGTGCTCTACGTCCGTAAGTCAGGAGCTGGGACAAGGAAGAGCTGGGGTCTCTCATGAGGCTGCAGAAGGAATTAGGGCCTCTGCCCGAGAAAGGGCCTGCGGTGTTTACGGGTCTCACTGCAGGCAGCAAGCTGGCATTGGCTTTTGTCCAGAGGTCTCAGCTCTGTGCCACAGGGCTGCGTGCATGGCCCCAAGGTAGTGACTATCAGCTGTCATTCCTCTACTTCCCCAGAGACACCTAGAAGGGAGAGGATACCCTAGCAAGTTTCATGGCCTGGCCTTGGAAGTCACTTGGTCTTCTCTGTCACCCATGTCTACCACACAGGTCAACCCTATGCAGTGTGAAGGGGAGTCACTGAGGGCCATGCAAGAGGCTGACCCTTCAACACTAGGGGAAGCTGGGCCTTGCTGTGGGACCAGCCCTCTCCTGCCATGACCAGTGAAGCCAGTTCCACAGCCTCCTGCAGAGGCCTGTGCATTGACTGCACTTTACAAACAAGGAAACCGAGGCCCTGAGAGGCTGAGACTTTGGCCCTGTCTAGAAGTGGTGGGGTTGGAAGCTGGGGTGGACAGGCTGGGTCAGGAATACGACCCTCGGCTCCTCTGCTTGGCCTTGACTGTCTGACATTTCCACACTGACCTCTGAGCAGGCAGCCCAAGAACGACGCTCTCCTTGGGCTCATGGGGTAAGGCAGCAATCACGGTGGGGTTGGCAGAGACTGGAATCTTTTAGTGGGAAACACTGCTATCCCAAAGGGGCTGAAATTCTGTCACCAAGGACCAGTGAGGAACTGGCCATCAGTAAGAAATACACTGGGCCACAGAGTGCCAATGTGATGACAAGTGATGCCTGCTGCAGTGTGCGAGACCAACTGATGATCTGCTGGGGGTGCGCTGGATGTGGAAGGACACACCTGCCACACAGCAGCCATTGGGGAGGCAGGTCCATCCTGCATTTTGGAGTTAAGCCTAATGAGTAGAAAGTCTCTCTCCTCTGAACAATGGAGATGAGGCTGTTGTCCATGAAGGTGGATATAGGGGTTCCTCACTCAAACCACAGCAGAGAGCACCCCAAAGCAGCCACTTTACTATACTCAGAGTCTACGAAAGGGGCCAGCCAGGGTTTTCTGGGGCTCAGTTGAGAAAATGCACATCGAGTGCAGTCACACTTGGCCTGCTCACGACTGATTAGTTTAAAAGTGACCCTGCAGATTGGAGAGATGGCTCAGTGGTTAAGAGCACTGGCTGCTTTTACAGAGGATATAGGTTTAGTTCTCAGCTCCCACATGGCAGCTAACAACATCTGTAACTCCAGTTCCAGGGCATCCAACACCCTCTTCTGGCCTCCATGGGCACTGCGCTTATATATATGTGAACACTCATACACAAAAAATAAAAATAATAGATTTTTTAGGGAGTCTCCCTGTAGTCCCAGCTGGACAGAACTCACTATGTAGACCAGGCTGGCATTGAACTCACAGAGTTAGGATGCGCCACCACACCCAGCTAAGATTTATTTTTATTATTTTAATTATGTGTATGTGTGTATGTGTACATGAGTGAAGCCAGGTGTCAGATCCCTTGGAGCTGGTGTTTTATAGGCAGTTGCAAGCTACCTGATGTCGGTGCTGGAAACCAAACTTAGGTCCTCTACAAAAGCAGTACATGTTCTTAACTACTGAGCCCTATCTCCAGCCCCTCCAAGGTTACCGTTTTGTTTGAAACAGAGTCTCACTGTGTAGCCCTGGCTGGCCTAGAACTCTCTATGTAGACCAGGCTGGCCTGGTACTCACAGTCTGCCTGCCTCTGCCTTCCCAGTGCTGAGATTAAATGCTAGCACCTTCACACCCAGCCCTATTGTTCTTTTTTGAGATGATGACTTTGAACTCTGATCCGTATGCCTCCACTTCCCAAGTGCTAGATTACAGGAAATGTGCCACCATGTCCAGGCTCCAGGGACACTTTTTAAAAAGAAACACTTGTAAGATTTATTTAGCCAGGCATGGTGGCACTCAGGAGGCAGAGACAGGCAGATCTTTGTGACTTCAAGGCCAGCCTGGTCTACATAGTGAGTTCCAGGTCAGCTGGGGCTACAGGGAGACCCTGTCTCAAAAAGACAAAAAGAAATCTTTTATTAAAAAGTGACCCTGGAGTTTTCTGTTCCCTCGTTCCTACCTATCTTGCCCAAACTCTACAGGAACTCTACAGGGCACTATCAGAGACAGTCAGCTTGCTGGCAGTCCACTGAGCCAGCATAACAGACCCCAAAGTGACCCTCAGGAGGCCTCACCCACACCTCTACCCCAAGCTAGTGCTGTGGAGCCGGGTGGGGTGTAAAGCCGTCCCTGCCAGCAGGTGGGACTCTGTACCCTCAGCTCACTCATAATACCCAGAAGCAAGTGTGGCCTGTTCCACACGCCAGCCACAGTGAGGAAATGCTTCAAGTGAGGGTCAAACCTGCTCCTAAACAGGGCAAACAACTTTGTGGGCCACTGGGACCCAGTCACAGCTACTCAGCTTTACCCACACCTATGATGGCACCAAAGCAACCACAGACAGGAATGAGCTGGCTCCAGTCTGCCTGGGCCACTGCCTGGATTTTAACCCCAATTTTTTTTTTTTTTTTTTTTTTTTTTTTTTTTAAGGCGGGCTCCCCTTTTCTCTCTCCTGGAACTCACTATGTAGACCAGGCTGGACTTGAACTCACAGAGATCCGCCTGCCTCTGCCTCCCAAGTGCTGGGATTAAAGGTGTGCGCCACCACGCCTGGCTCTTAATCCCAATTTTAAAAAATATCTTATTTACTATTTTTGTTTGTTTGGTCTTTTTGAGACAGGGTCTCCCTGTAGCCCCAGCTGTCTCACTATGTAGACCAGGCTGGCCTTGAACTCAGAGAGATCCACCTGCCTCTGCCTCCCAAGTGCTGGAATTAAAAGCATGCACCACCCCGCCCGGCTTTTATTTTATTTTTACAAGTGTATTGGCTGCATGTATGTGAGTGCACCCATGTCACACAATGCCTCAGAGGTCAGAAGAGGGCTTCAGATTCCCCTGGAACTGGAGTTAAGGATGGTTCGTAGCCACCATGTGGATGCTGGGAATTGAAGCCAAGTCCTCTGCAAGAGCAGTGCTCTTAACCGCTGAGCCATCTCTCTAACCCCAATTTAAGACCTCTGAGCTCTAGTCTCTTTGGTCCCTCAGCACTGTGGGGCAGTACATGCACAGGCCCAGCAGGTGGCGCCAGGCCACTGTCCAGTGCTTGCCCATAAGGGAGGCCTGGGGGAAACCTCAGCTAGACCTTCAGCATCAGGGCTAGCCTGCAGCAAACAGCACAAGTGAGGAGTCTCCTGGGGACACCATCCTGTCCTTGGGGCTGACCCCACTGTGGTCAGGCTGCAGGTCCTGAGAGGGTCAAGGAATCCCTTCAGTAGTGGTCCCCAACACTTTCAAGAGTTAACAGAGCACAGCAGAGTGGGGGTGACAGGAAGTATCCTCTAGTGAGACTTCTTCTTTCAATCTGTGCCCGAGTTAGAGGGCTCTGGGCCAGTGGCAAGAAGGGAAGCAAAGAGACGCCAGCATCCTCCATGGCCCACCTCCGAGGGAGATGGACCTGAGGCAGCAACGGTTACATGGCAGAGGTGGCTTCTCAGAGGTGGGGCGCTTCCACTCCGGTCTTCACAGATGAACGGGAGCTGGGCAAGTGGAGGCAGGACAGAAAAAGAGCAAAGGGGCAAGTGAGGGACAAGCCCGACCCTGGAACAGTTCCAGAACCAAGGGGGGGGGGGATCAAGGTAGGAGAGGAAAACAGAAAACAGTCACCCCAGGGTGGCAGAACCTCGGGCCATGGAAGAGGACGTGACTTTTTGTCTGCTATTTTTTGAGACAGTCTCAAGGAGCCCAGGCGGGCCTCCAGCTCACCCTGGTGCTGCTCTAGTGTGGTTCCTGTTGCTGTGATAAGACTTTGACCAAAAACATCTTGGGGAGGGAAGTGTTTATTTCACTGTACTTTATGGTGCAGTTTCTACCACCAAGAAAGCCAAGGCAGGAGCTTGAGGCAGAAACCTGGAGCACTGCTCACTGGCTCCCCTGGCTGCTCAGCTACTTTCCTTACACATCCCTACCCAGGGACGGAACCACCCACATTGGGCTAAAATGCCTCACAGACAGCCATAGACCAGTCCGATGGAGACAATATCTCAATTGAGTTTCCCTCTTCCCAGGTGACTCCAGTTTCTGTCAAGTTGACAAAATCTAACCAGCACAGCACAGTAGCCCAGGCTGACCTTGACTTCAGATTCTCCTGCCTCCACCTCTTGAGTGGATCAGAGATGTGCACCACCATGACCAGCTACTGGAGGATCCCCTTAATCATCACTGCTTGTGTGTGTGTGATGGCATGCACTGTGTGCACACGTAGCAACCAGAGGTCAAACATCAGGTATTCCCTCTATCACTCTCCACTTTAAGATACGAAAAAAAAAAAAGGATGATTCTTATTGCCGGGCGTGGTAGTGCACCCCTTTGGTCCCAGCACTTGGGAGGCAAAGGCAGGTGGATCTATGTGAATTCAAGGCCAGCTTGGTCTATATTATGAGTTCCAGGCCAGCTGGGGAACCAGGGAGACCCTGTCTCAAAAACACCCAAAATAAATAGTCTCTAATCCCGAGTAAATTCTGAAAAAGTACTTGCCACGGGATTCCACTTAGTGGAGAACAGGCTGGAAACCATGACCAGTCACGTGACTCACGATGCTTCCTGGTGAGACCCTCCTTCCCTCACCTCTAAATGGCAGGCACAGAGGACCCCGTGGAAAAAAACCTCTTAAGCGGTAGGGGCTTTCATTCGTGGGGCCCCTCCCAGATTATTCCTAATTCTTTATTTTCAATCTCATATTTTCTTAAGGGAAGTCCCTTAATTTGTAGAAACTTCAGGCCCCATAAAAACCTGACTCTGAAGCCTGGCGAGCTACCACATGCCTTGAATTCCAACACGTGGAAGCAGAGGCAGGAGGATCTCTGGGAGATTGAGGCCAGCTCGGCCTCCAAAGTGAGTTCCAAGACAACAGTCACTTCAGGGAGACCCTGTCTCAAAAACCAAAACCAAACCAAACCAAAAAAAAAAACAAGTAAAACACCTGACTCTATTCCTGGCTGCAGGGTGACCCAGGGTCTGGATGAGGGATGCCTGCTGGCGTTTTGTTTTTGTTAAAATAGGATGTTATGTAGCCCTGGCTGGCCTTGAATTCAGTATGTAGCTGAAGACCTTGAACTTCTGATCCCCCTACCTCACCACCCATCTGACCTAGGGAACGAACCCAGGGCCTTGCAGGTATGCACTCTAGCACTGAGCTATACTCGCGGGTGGCTGGCTGGCCCTGGGTGTCCCTTGGACTCTGGGTTACGAGGCAAGTCTGCCTACCTACCAATACCAACCAAAGCCTGCGCAGGTCCAGGCCGTCTTCAGGCTCCAGCTCAGGACAGGCAGGGGCTCTCGGACCTCCCATGACCCCCCTGTGCAACGCGGACTGTGGAAAGCAGCCAGTCCCAGGAGGACTCTCCAGCGGCATGAGCCCTCCTGCAAAGCGCCTGCGCCCAAGAACCGCCTGACCGGGGACGGACCTCTCCTTGGGGAGCCTGGATGGGCAGCATGGTCACTGCGGGGTAACCCCGAGCGGCCAGCCGCTTTCTGGAACTCTATGGGGGGGATTTGACTCTGCCTTCCCTTCCCACCCCGCCAGCCACATCAACTTTTAACTGGATTTCCTTTTCTTTTTGGATCTTTTTGAGACAGGGTCTCCCTGCAGCCCCAGCTGGCCTGGAACTGTGTAGACCGGGCTGGCCTCAAACTCGTAGAGATCCTCCTGCCTCTGCCTCCCGAGGGTTGGGATTTTAACTGGAATTAGGGTCAAGCAGGTCGGTGTCGCTGCACCCTCGCTCTCCCAGACTTCCCGGGACCCCTAGGGGCTGTGGCCACATCCGGCCCTCTGCCCCAGGGCGGGTATTCCCGAAGCCCGCGGTCTCCCCGTCTCCACCCGCCTCTGCAAATCCGTTTCCAAGCGCCTCCCCTTGCGCTCGGTGGAGGCCTGGGCCAGAACCCGGCTTCCAAGCACCGTAGGAAGTAAGACTTCCGCCACCCAGAACCCCTTAGGTCACACTCAGGCCAAGAAAACCCCGTCCACCCGCGCACATGCGCGTGGCGGACCAAGGAAGCTTAAACCCCGTCGCTGCCCTTAGATCCTCACCTGCGCCTGCGCAACACAGGGTCGCCGCGTCCGTGGGCGGTGACGTCAGGAGCGGCCGGCGGCGCGCATACGAGCGCGCATCCTGAGACGGCGCCGAGTTCCTGGACGCCCCGCGCGGGCCCGAGGCGGGCACAGCAAGGTTCCGCAGTGTCGGCGCGGGCGGAGGGGGCGTGAGGCCCGCGCTACGGTGGCCGCGGAGGGACTCAGCTACGGCTCCCACGCTGGGACAAACGCCTCAGGCCGCCGGGCCCGCGCGCGCCCTCCCCTCCGGGCCGGCCCCTGCCCCGGGCAAGTGAGGGACCACGACCGGCGCC